TTTCAAAACTTTTCATTTCTCATAACTTATGAGTTAATGGTTATTAAAAATGAAGACTCTTCATTTTTTGTAACCTATGTGTTCTTTTAATGGTTATTTATAATGTGACTTTGGTTATCCATAACTTAAGAACTAGTTATGGACTCCATTAAAACACATAAAGATCAATAATTAATCTAATCAATTATTAGCACATAATTTCTATGATCTTCTAAACTCATATGTTTATGAATGTTCATATCAAAAATTTCAAGAATCGTAAGTACATATACAAAACTTGAAATTTTGATACGAGCTTTTGAACAAAACTTCGATTTTCAAGTTTTTTTTTTTTTTTTTTTTGCATCAAGTATCAAATAAACAAACCAGGCTCTGATACCACTGATGGGTTTTGAGCATTCTAACACTCCTATGGTGTACATGCAACCCTAGAAACCTTGGATCTATGTTTGACTAGATACATGCAAATAATATTTTTTCCAAGGTTCTATCCTAACTAGCATGGCATGGGGTATTTGAATCAAATAAAACTAGTAGAATTATTTACCTTGTAGTAGTAGTTGATTGCTTGGAGTTTAGAGCCTAGCACCAATAATGTGGATGCCTCAAATGAAAGTCACAAATCACCACAAACGGAAACTTGAGAGAATAGTCACAAACTTCTTGAAATCGGCCCTCTTAGTTTACACACATCAACTAGTGCAATTTCAAGAACCAAAACCAAAGCCTCCTTTATATAGTGTGGTGGATTAGGGTTACATCCATTTAAACCCTAATACCCATGGTCTTTTCATTTCCATGAGATCCAGGGTTAAAGCGCCATGGAGTATCCATGGACTTCCATGCAAGCCTAGCCCATTCCAAATAAGCATTAGCCACACTATATAAATACAAGAGCCCATATTTAATTAGTCATACTTTTGATCTCTAAATTAATTCTAAATAATTATAGATCAATACTAATTAAATATAAATGATTTTTTATATTAATATATTAGGACTTATAATATATTAATAAATCATAACTTATACTATTCTCAAACGATTATCCATAAATTGTTCGGGTGAAGTGCAACCCAAATGGACCATGCCGAGTCGGGTCAAGTACATACCAAATATAGTTATGGACTTAGACACTATATCCAACAATATCCTCACTATACTAAAGGGTCTAAGGCACCAAGGTCGGCCCATTGGATATGTTATCCTAGCAGTGTTAGATGTTGAGTATGAGTTAGAGTTGCATGCTAGTGGTTATGCCAGTTTGGTAGACCTGTAGGACTACCTGTTATGTTATATGATTAATGCATGCTCAGTGGTTATGTTGTATGCTATATGTTACGTGGGATGGGTTGAGGTTGTACTACACCGTACGGTAGCCAACAAACCCTAGGAGCATTCCAGTTACGGGCTAAGGGAGACTCGTACTGTGGGCTCGAGAGCATTCCAGTTACGGGCTAAGGGAGACTCGTATTGTGGGCTCGATGGCAATCCAGATGTGAGCTGTGGGCCTGGTAGGCAATCCAGACTCACATTGTGGGCCCAGGGGTAATCCAGTCTGTAAAGCTGTGGACCCATTACATTCTCTTCAGTTATGATATGTTATTGCTGACATGGTTATGTGGACTGTATGTGTATCGGTATTTTGGGGGTAACTCACTAAGCTTTCGGGCTTACAATTTCAGTTTATTGTTTCAGGTGCATCAGGGGATCGTGGCAAGGCAAAGGCGTGATCGTACAGCTCCTCACTTTTTATGACTATGTTCTGGGATACTCTGATATTAAACTATTTTGAAAACATTTTGTAATGACTAATGAGTTTTGAATTGTTTAAAAAGTTTTAAATTGGCTTGAAATTTTAGGGTGTTATATATATATATATATATATATATATATATATATATATATATATATATATATATATTCATTTATGAATATATTTACAATTATAGGAATTCATATGTATTTTATATTTTGTTCATGTCTCTTCATTTATAATTTGACGTCATATGTGTTTTTCTAAATCTTTTTCATTTAGTTGATTGTTAATTGTATTTATTTCTTTAATTGACAGTGTGTAGAGGAAATCGAGATGCTTCTACAAACGGAATGTTGGAGTGCTAATATACAACCAAACAATACAACGTGGAAAAGATTTCCCCCAAATCAGATTGCCATTATTCAAGAATCTCGATCGCCGTTTCTGGAGAAGAGCTAAGTTAAGAGCACCAAGGCTTCCAATATCAAGACCGCCATTATTTCTATCAGCAATAACCACATCCCATTTCACCCAAGGCATTTTAATATTATCCACATCCCCTCCCCAGAAAAATTGTACGTGAAAATCTTCTAAGGCCTTAACCACTCCAACGGGTATAAGAAAAAGTGACATGAAGTAATTATCTAGAGATCCTAGAAGTGATTTGAGCAACATGGAACGACCACCAATAGAGAGAGTCTTCACTTTCCATTTAGAAAGTTTTTTCTGAAATCGGTCAATAATGAATTTCCATCCTACCAGCCTAGTCATATTTTGACCCACCGGGAGACCCAAGTAATTAAAAGGGAATTTTCTTGCCCTACAACCAACCACTAAAGCAAAGTCCTCCACCTCTCCACCCGAAACACAAACACCAAATAAATTGGATTAGTGTAAATTATTTTTTAGACCCGAAGCCATGTAAAAACATTGGAGGACTCGAACAATGTTTACATTATTAGATCGTTTCCACTCATCAAGGAAGATCACGTCATCTGCATAGAAGAAATGAGAAGTTCTCATATTACCCTTACCAACCTGAACTCCAGAAAAAAGATTAGCCGCTTTTGCATCCTCTATAGCGACATGCAACCCTTCCATAACCATAATAAAAAGGAACGGAGACAGAGGATCTCCTTGTCTCAATCCCCTATGTAACTGAAACTCCTCCGTAGGACTTCCATTAAGCAAGATAGAAGCCCTAACATATATAAGACAAGCACGTATCCAAGACTGCCATTTAGAACTGAACTTCAAAAATGGCATGATTCGATCCATATAAGCCCAAGAAACCGTACCATAAGCTTTTTCAAAATCAATCTTCAATAACATCATCTTTTTGCTTTTTTTTATACCACTCCACCCATTCATTAACCATCACTAAAAGAATCTTTTATCAAAAGATTTTTCTTTTTACAATTTTATAGCACAAACAAATAAAAATTAAATAACTGTATTGTATTCTTGAAAAAAGTAGTACAAACATAAGTTTTTTTAAAACCTAAGTCCAATGCAATCGAGTAACATTTCTATCAGGTAAAATGTTGTTTTAGCCCAACAAATTTATCTCATTTGTTTTAAAAGTTCACTCAATTGTTTTTTTTTTTTATTATTTTAAGGGAATGAAGTCGAATTTTTAATGTTAAAAATATCATTGTCCTCCATTTGAAGGGGTCACCGGTAATCTCATGCCTAGTCAACGTATTTGACTTTAGACCATCATTCAACTTTCACATTCTATCGCCATCGTCGGAGACTGGCTATGGATTTGCAAAGCATGCGTCTGTTTCTAAAACTAATACTTGTAACTATTATTAACAAGAATCGTTACTCCCATCAAGGTTAGCTTATATCTTCAAAAAATGTGTCGTTTGCTTCCACCCACGTTAGCAATACGAAACCCAAAATTGCATTTGTTTATCTTCTTCTCATAAACTAAAATTAATCCCATGTAGAAGGTTAGTTCAATTCATGATTCAGAGAAAAGAAAAGAAAGATGAGAAACATATTGCAACTGGGAAAGACCGGAAAGTGGAGGCACAAAGAAGAAAAGGGTGAGCAGGTGTGAAACATCAAACTAAAAACAATCAGACCTTAACTTGTTTATCTTCACCATGATCGATCTCGATCTTGCAGCTCTCACCTATATCTCTGAAGGAAAGAGTTTGTTCATGAAATTGGGAAGAAATAGAAAATCTGAAACCCACTTCGATTCAGCAAATCAAATGTGTTTCAAAAAGAACCTAGCAATCAGTGTATAGAAACAACAAATCGGGTGGGTTCAATAAAACCTAGAAATCTTCAGCTACTTCGATTCATAAATCAGTTGGGTTCAAAGCTCCGAAGCTTTAAAAACTTATATGGGGTTGGGTTTTTTGCAATTGAAGAGGAAGATCATCCATAAGAGATTGAGAGATTTTGCGACATCAAAGAAATCTTGTGCAAAGATAAGATCAATGGTCGATGGTGTTACTGGAACCCTTCATCGAGAATTAGGGAGGAGAAATTGACGGGAAGCCTTGATCGACATTCAAAGGGGGGGGGGGGGGGGGGGGGGGGGGGGGGGGGTGGGGTGGGTATGATGGGTGGTGGTGGTGGTGGGTGGGGGGGAAGGACTTATGTTGGTGCCTGATGGTGTGAGTTGGCTTTTAAGTTAATTTGTTTATGTTTTTTACAAAAAAGAAAACATACATCATACTGGAAACCGGCTATTAAAGGTTATAATGACTTTTTTAATAAATAATAGGTAAATATAAGTTTATGCCTTTATACTATTAAAAAAACATATGGAACCTTTTAAAATAAATCATAATAGTTTGTCGGGTTAAAATGACATTAATCCTTTCTTTTATGTAGACTTATGTTAGGTGTTATTTGATGTAAAAATAATCCCGTTGAAACTTTACTATGAAGTTAATTTATAAACTACTTTTTGATTTTTGATCTGACAAATATAACAAATTAAAAAATATGACAAATTAAAACCAGTTGCGCCAGTATATAATGATCAAAACTAATATTACCATATACAAATAAGGAGAGATTTTGTGAATTTGCATGAAAGTCTCGTTGGTTAAAATGACAAATATGTCATTATGTTTGACCTCATTATAATCAATTTTGTTATAGCGTTAATGAAACGGATTATTTAAGTTTGAATGTCAAAAGAGGAGTAAAAAATGTAGTTTTTTTTTTTTTTTAAATTTCAAAAGTGAGGTAACCATAGAATTTATCAAATCTTAATATTCAAACCTCATGTCAAAAACATGTATGTAGATCATAGCCCCATAGATAGATAGATGATCGTGTATTTAAAGGAGAAAATAAACAAAAAAAAAAGAGAGAGAAATAGAAATAGAAGATCCATCGATGATCGGTTGTTTATTTGTTAGCACCAACGGCATCCTTGGCTCCCTCGGCGGCTCCTTGTGCTTTGGCCTTCATCTGTTGACCACCCTGTACATAACAATAACATGCTAATTAAAAAACCATATATGCACGCATTTTGGACTTATTTTGCAGTTTTTGTGTGTATTAATTAATTCTTTTCAACCATCTAATCTATATACAGCTATACACCCACAACCACAAACACAAACCTCTTGCATGCTGTCCTTTGCAGATTGGGCTTTATCTTGAGCCTTTTCGACCAAGTTGCTAGCCTTCTCCTGAAAACATAAAGTACTCCTGAATCGTCCATCATATAATTTTATGGAATAACAAACTAATTAATTATAAAATTTGTTGTAAATCAGAAAATGGTTCTTTCGTCAAGGCAAAAACAAAGTTCAATACTTTTTGTGATTGATGCTTTTTGATCGATTTGTTGCATGCATAATATATATCAACATCAACAAGATGACATGCATCATGCATATATAGCTAGTATAACAATTGTAATCGATCAGGTAAAGTTTACCTGTGTCTGGCCTGCAATTTGGCCAGCATTGTACTCTGCTTTCTGAGATTTATCCATGTTTAGTTTTCTTTAGGATTGCAAAAATAATCAGGAAATTTCAGGCTTTTGATGAATCTGTTGCTGTTGTATATGTTGATGTTGTAGGAGACAAGTTATATATAGTTTCAAATATTTTAGTCGCATGTCATAATTTGGTGGCGTATATGGCTCTCGACCACCTAAGTTTCTCCTTTTTAGACAATCTCTCGTTCAAAATGGATCTCTAGTTGACAGATCTCCAGTTATGCCTTATCATGGATAAACCCCTCAATATATGCATTTGCGTAAACCAGTTCCTAGCTAGACATTTTAGAGCATCTTTTGCTCATATTTTCTTTTCTTCAACGCAAATAATGAAAAATCATTTTTATTAGCACATGAACAATGGATAATTTAATAATAGAGAATTCAAAGGTAGAGCTTAACGATGTGACAAGTTTAATTTGGAAGAAACGAAATGACACATTGATATAACTTTTACATTATTCAAGATTGATCTAATAGGAAAAAAAGTTTTTTAATTCTTAAATAAATTTATAAATTAATTTTGATAATGTTTCATTAAAGTTTATAAAATTTAATGTATTGTTGAAAAAATTAATAGAGTTATTTTAAATCAAAATTAATCATTTGATATTCCATTCAACTCTATAAAATTATAAAATTTAATGCATTATGAAAAGCAATATCTTCAAATAAACACCATGCTTCTATTGATTTATATACATCCTTGAAAAAGCATGTTAACAAGGTCTAGAAGCAAAAGGATCAAGCTAATGTTTTTGCATTTTAACTCAAACCATGGGCCTCTCTCTTTTTCTGCCAACACAAGCTTTCACTCTCCTCTTCAACTCTTTCCTGCATTAAAACCATCATCCAGTTCCAGTTCCAGTCATCAAAACGACACAATCAAACAAGTATTTGTGCACAGAGACAGAGCACAAGTTTCTTACATCATGAGGTGTCTATCGAGGTATGAAGATGAAAGTAGCCCTTTGTTCTCTTCTGCTCGTCGCAAAAGGTAAGGCATGATCTTATCAACAGGCCCAAATGGCAAGTACTTGCTCACCTTAAACCCTGAATTTCTCAATCCAAAACTCATTGCATCCGCCATCCCGTAAAGTGAAGCAAACTCCAGCTTATCGTTTTCTCTACCAATCCCCAAATCACCTGCCTTTCGTGCGACCAGTTTCCCTGTTAGGGTCATTTATAACACAAACTCAGTTTGAAGCTATATCGATCGTGTTAAAGATCGTGGATTTTGTCTCAAGAGATACCTCGTTCGGTTTTCATAATCAGTAATTCAGTATTACCCTGAGTAGTATACTCCTGATTCACAATACATTTATCAAATTTGGTTTACTACATCTATATCCTGATTCAAACTTCAAGAACATAAAAAGTATAACCTTTTTTTAAAAGAATATGGAAAATGGAAAGCAACCCAGATGATGAAAGACGTAAAGTTTCCAACTTTTACCTGATTCAAGATTATGAGTGGCAAGAATGAGCCCACCAGGGCCATTAGAAACCTCGTCTACCATGAACGAAGCACAATCATTGAAACAACGGTGTGTCTCGTTGATGCTATTGTGAATAGGAGACTCAACACCAAGAGAATTAGCCAATTTCCTTTCGCTAGACATATAAGCTCCTCTTACTAGCTTAAACCCTATCGGCAGTTCCAATTTATCGGCGGCTTTTTTTGTCTGGAACAACCTCTGCCCGGCGTCCTTCAAATACGCTTGAATTGTCCCGGAAATCAAGGGCTTTTGACCTTTGTTGTACATGATTGCCGCTGAATATGTGAAGTAATCGATCCCTGGTTGGATAGAAGTATCCTCTGCATCAATGACTACAGGCACGTTGCTTTCAATGGCTTTATTACATATGGTGGTTAGTCTTTGTTGAGCTAGTTCAAGATCAAGCTCTTCTGCCATCGTCAAATGGGATGGTTTTGTTAGTGTGTGGTAAAAAGGACTGCATTCGACAAATATGGGAAGGGTTTTTAGCTTCCATGGGAGCACAAACGAAGATGAATTCTTGTGTTTGTATTCCCATCTAAGTAGATCACTCACTCTCTTTAGCAAAGAGATTGGGCAGATAGCTGTGATCTTCACGACTACAAAACTAACCTGTTGTTCATAGGATCAGTAGATATATATTCTCAGAAAATAAACAAGATAGATTGATGTGAATATGATGGATGTAAATTACAGAAGACTTACAGAAGATGGAGGAAGAGATTGGGTTGATTCAACAGTTTTGATGAACTGTTGAGCGTTTTTATCACACGATTCATTATCAACTGCATGCTCCAGACCATAATCCAACATCCCTCTTAACCCGGACTCCCATAATTTCTTCACAGTTCGACCAGCCTCACCGGTGTCGGAACCGGCAACAAAGTGCTCATAAACCGTATGCTTGATTCCACCTAACACAACCTCTCTTAACAAACCCATCTGCATTAACCTAGAACCCATCACCCACATCCCCAAATCCACTACCGGCTCCACCGAAGCCATGCTAAGGTTCGCCACCGATCGTATAAGTTTACCAGTCTTAACGGATGAGAAAAGGCGTTTGGTGTCTTCAAAATTATAAACACAGTCGTCATTGGAGTAGTCGATGGTGCTTTGTTCCGGATGTGCTGGAGGTGCGAAGATAGTGGTGGTTGCCGTGTTAATCGTTGTTCTCTGAGCAAAACGGAAACGGGGGGCGGTGAAAGAGGGAGAAGATGAGTTAAGAAAGCGAAGGAAAGATGGAATCAATTTGGAAGAGAGGCCATTTGTGGTCATAGCCATCAACGGGATGATGGCGACGGCAACGGTGGTAGTGGAGGCTGTTTATAAACCGTAGAAAGTAGCAAGATTCAGACGAATTTGTATGCAAAGAAGCAACTCCTGCGAAATTGCGATGAGCCTGTTGAAGCTAGTGAGGTGTATTTATATTCAGGAGTTTGGTGGTTCAGGGTGGAGAATATCCCATTATATACTAAGGTACGATGATAATCTTAACATCGTTGTTATTCTAGAGTTTTATCGTTAAATGGTGAATTATCATGTCATCGAAATTAAATGAGACGAAAGGTCCAACTAGAGGGACCATATTAAATAAATTACTTCGATGAATTTTATGTTTTGGGGATTATATATCACTATGGTTAAAGAGTAGGGACCAAATAGTAATTATTGATAAATAATTACCATTTGTTTATTAATTTATTAAGTTGGTAATTTGAAGATTTGATAAGGCATATAAAGGATGAAAAGTACCCATCACGGTTTTTGAATGCACATTCCTCAATTTTTTTTAAAGCTAATTTCATCTACTTACTATAACTTTACTTTGTAATAGATTACATCTGCTATAACTTTACTTTGTAATAGATTACATATCCAACACATATTAACGTATATACAAGAATAATTCATTGGAATTATTTAATGGGTATAAAGTATAAATTTATAAATAACAATAAATGAATCCGCTTGGCCGAGTCTCATAACATGTACGACTTTAGGTGTGATGTTGACATATTAAAACTTTTGAACCGTTGCTTTGAATAAAATGAAAAGTAACAAAATCAAAAGAAATTCTTAAAATATTAAATTGAACAAATAAACATTTTATAAGAGAAAAAGATAAATTTGTTTAATTTCATTTAGTATTTTTTATGATTTAAAGTATGATTACCTAAATAACCATCATTTTTGTAGATGATATCTATGAAAATGGTCTGTGTCATCTGCGAAATCACCAAAACGACATCGTTTTGATAATTTTCACAGATGCATCAACCCATTTCGAAAATATCATCCGTGAAAACCTCCACATATTAGATCTATAAAAACCTCCATTTTTGTCTTTTTCCTTCATTTTACAAAAATAATAATACTAATAATAATAATAATAATAATAAATGAAAACTTGAAATTCTCTCAAAACTACTCTTAATCATATAGCTCCAACGTTACTTTTTTTATATACCGTCCTTTCGTTTTAAAAATCACATTTAAAAGTATTGGATGTTTATTGCTTCATTTTAATTTTTAACATATCCATGCACACGTTTTATAATTATTGTTGGCTTTGTGAATCTTTATAATTATGTAGGAAATACAAAGAGAATGGCTAAATAAACACCCTCATTTACTAGAAACACAACCTATACTAAAAAAACACCTTAATAAAAAAAGTCAACAATGCCTTTTTACATTGAAGTTTGTATACGCTACTTTTTGGTTTTTTTAATTCACGTGCATTCTTTTTTATTTTTATTTTCTTTTACTTTTTATTTATATTTTCTTTTTGGAGTAATTAAAACATATATATATATATATATATATATATATGTATATATATATATATATATAAATTAAATATAAATGATTAATTATTTATTTTTAATTAATATAGATTAATAACGTATATATATTTGTATATTATTTAATAATTAAATATAAATGAATACATAAAAAACAAAAATATGATGCAAAAAACAATAGCATTAGCAATCCTTCATGAATACATAAATGCATAATTCGAGAGAAAATTAATACCCTCTAACAATCCTCTACAGTTATAAAAGGTATTTCAGGATTGTAAGATTTCAGTTGTCTATAAAGTTCTAGACGTGACATGAACATAGTTTCCCATCCAGCTGCACATGGGGCTTTGTGGAGGATCCAGAAAGCTGAAATGGTAGGCAGCGGGCAATCTTCTTCTAATTGTACCATCACATAATGATTACCATATACAAGTGAAATCGTAATAACGCGATGGTACAAAAATTCTTCCGGACCTTTCCAAAGAGGAAAGAAAGTGAGAGAGCCTTGGTTGGTTAAAAAAGTAAGGACTACACCAGATCTGTTGGCAATGAGGATACCTGTTTCAGGCATAAGTAACCGGTATCTTTTAGGTGCCGGCGATTCTAAGAAATTCAACGAAGTATATAGTTCACCGATTCCATCAGTGAAAACTCTAGCATATGCATCGTACGAACTCAATAACTCGTCTAGTAGTTGACGTCGAACATAGAGTCAGTCATTCTCGCCATACCCAAGACAAACAGATATTGCTCGAAATCCACAGTTTCCATCCCCCTCTACATCTTGTATATGTGTGATGTAAGGATGAAATATCACTTGAATTGCATCTATTAGTCGATGATTGTAGCATGATTGAGGCTCTTCCTTCAAGTCTGGAATTTCATTAAAGTCTGGCTCTTCTTTCAAGTCTGGAATTTCATTCAAGTCTGGCTCTTCTTTCAAGTCTGGAATTTCATTCAGGTCTGGAATTGTGGTTATGTATGAACTATGTCTTGCCGGTTCCCTATTGTTCAACTCAAAATTTTTTGGCATGGTTGAAAAGTTGCGTCTTCTAGGAGCTTGATTGATAGAATCAGTTTGTTTTTGTTTTTGTTTCTTTAAACTTGGTCGTCCACGTGTATTTTTTTGAATTGCGGGTTCTCTAATGTGTGTTTTACTAGGCTGGAATATATCTAGTAGCTTTCTCATCATGCTTTTTTTCACAGCTTCCGGTTGCTTATTGTAGGTTTCTTTAAACACTTCAAATTTATCATCACCACATATATCCTCATTTTCCATAGGAATTGACGGTGAAATTTTAAGTTTTCTCCAGAATACATCTATTGATTCCAATGGAATACACTCACCTGTAATGAAATATCATTAATATATAAACAATCAATATATAACTTAAATGTAAAAAGTAATTGTCAAATGCACCCACTGAAGTTCAAGTATGTTGATAGCATGTAAGCACATGGTAAGCCACAACTATTTTGTAGTTTACAACCACAGTTTGAAGAGTCAACTTGATGTACCCGTTGAAGTTCCTCTACAAGCATATCCAGAGCTTTAAGTGAAACATTACCCCGCAACAAATCGAAACACGAAAATTTGTGTTCGTGTTTGGAGACGATCATGCTCTTTTCAAAACTCTCATTTATCGTTGTAAGTTGAGACTTCACAAACTGATCAATAGCACCAACAAACTTGGCTAAAGAATAATTTTTTTCTTGTAAGTACTTCTTTAACGCTGAATGTTGGCCCTCAACTCTGCTGCTGGTTCGTTGTCCAAAGTTCAAATGTTGATCAATCCAAACAGAGACAAACATTTCCTTATACTTGTTTAACCAAACATCGTCCAAATACTGTAAAACATCTGGAATCATATAAATGTTATTTATGTATAAAAACCCTTCTAAATTTATAAACAAGTAGTTACAAAATACGTAGAATTGTACCTTCATGTTCTCTTAACATTGACTGTAGTTTTCTGTAGTTTTCAGTGTACGATGTCCATGTTGGAGAGTCAACAATTATACTCCACATAGCACGAAAGGATTTCCACAAAGCTTTCGATGGGATTAGCTTCTTACAATGCTTTCTAATATTTTCGGTAATGTGCCATCGAAAAAGTAAGCGAGTTGCATAAGGGAAAACTTGTTGGCATGTATTCACCAATGCCAACTCTCTGTCCGTCACTATAACGCATGGTTGCATGCACTTTTCTAGTGTCAACCTTAGACACGTTAACACCCACTTATAACTTTCCTCCTTTTCGTTAATGATAAAGGCAAAAGCAATGCTAAATGTCTTGTTGGTTGAAGTTACTCCAACAATCTCAACAAAAGGCATAGCATATTTGTTTGTCTTGTATGTTGCATCAATAATCAAAACGTGTGGAAATGCTTGCCATATATCTAACGACAGTGGATGAATGAAAAACAGGTTTTCCAATAAGTGTGACATAAGACACCAATTTAAATGGACAATTGATTTTTTTGGTGCCGGAATTTTTACTTGTTGCTTTAATTTTGTATTCACCACCACGATCACAAATAAGTGTGACATAAGACACCACACCATTTTCATTTGTCTTTGATCTTCTTCTAACGATAACATAACCAAGAGAAAATGCTCTGTTTTGTACCCATCCCATCAATTCATTTAGAGAATCGAACTCCTAAAATTCAAATAATATCTGTTAATAACTAGTGAACATTACAATGATTAAAAAAATTAATATCATGATAAGTATTATACCCGTTCGGTGAAAAATGGTGACATCCCCATAGAGAACTCGTTGCCTTCATTTGAGTTTGCCCCGTAAAAATTCGCCATCTTTTCGATAAAACTATGAACATAACAAAAAAATTTGTTAAAAAAACTAAAATAATATAAAATAACTAATTAAAAATAAACATATATGTTTTTAAAAGCTGATTAACTTTTAAAAATCAAAATCAATGGCAGCCGTGCTTGAAATGTCTAATGTCCACTTATCTAAAAAGCTAATTTATTTTAAAAAAACAAAAAGCAACAATTCATTTAGTTTAAAAAACTGATTTATTTTAAAAAATGATTTATCATATTAAGTGGTCAAACCACTTAAAGGTTAGCCCACTTAAAATGTTCAGGCCAATTATCCGATGTTCAGCCCATTTATCCAATTAATACACAAAACCCTAAAACCACAAAATATTATCATTTTGCAATGTATTTGCTGTGAAAGAGCAACAGTCGTCCCCCATCTGCCGGAGCACAGCAGCTGCCGACGACTTGATGCCACCGGAGAATCGCCGACATCAGACCTCCGACGAAGAGTCCATGCAACCAGAGCAACGCCACCACCATGAAGCTCTCCCTATCTGTTTTTTCTTCGATCTGTCTCTTTCCACGTTTTCTTTTTTCCGGCACCGGAGATCTAGACGACGCCTCCGGCGGCGGTGATGCTCGCCGTCGGTCATGATTACCATAACTCGTTCCCTATCTCTCTCATTGATTGATCTGTCTCTATCTCTCTCTCTCTCTCCTCTCTCTCTCTCTCTCTCTCTCGATGTTTTACACTTTTCCGGCGGCGGTGCTGCTAGCCGTCGGCGATGATGACGGTGGTTGGACTTTAACAATCACAGTTATATTTTAAATCCTGAAATAATAAACAAAGTTAGAAATTTTACCTAAACTGTATTAGATGGTTAGATTAATGTTAACCTATCTTTTTTATAATAAAACATAAGTTGTTATTAGTTAAATTGATATTAATGTAATCCCTTTATTATATATACAATTTACGAGACACAGCTTTTTATGTTTGAACTTTTTTAGGTACCCAATATAGCTATTAAATAGGGTGTTTTTTAAGAAAAAATAGTTTGACTTTCAAAAATAGGGTGTATATGGATTGTTTATTTAGCAGCTACCAATATAAATTTTCTTGGGATCGTTGGTTGATTTTCCCAAAATGGCTTGAACTTTTTGTATTTTGGTCTAAGCTTCTTGCTAGTTTGTTTGTAATTCCACTGCCGTTCAAAAAAAAAATTTTGAGTGAAAAATGTATTTTCGCGGATGAATCATAATCAGCCTTAGAACATATGATAACGTTAAATATTTTGACATATAAATAATTCTATAATGAAACTGTTTGGAAAATATTAAGTTTTTATTAAATACCTTACATTAAAATTGTTTGTATACGAAAAAAAAAGAAACTACTTATTTTAGGAGAGACAATCGGAGAAAAATGCCAAAATGGGACCTCAGCCATGCCGGAATGACGTGCATATGAGTAGGAGAATCATGACGTACAACGTACAATTGGACCCACAAACTTAATGAGAATGTTTGAGAACTAGCTTGCTTCAATTTTTAGCTTTTTTTTTCTTAAAAAAAACCTAGAATTAAAAAAAAAAAAATTTATAATACAAAAAAAAAAAATTGTAACTCAAAATTTATTTTTAAGTAGCATACTATTTTGTTCTTAAGAAAATCATGTATCTTTTGTTCAAATATGTGTTTATGTAGTTTTAATACGACTTTTAACACAAAAACTAAAACTTACAAAAAAAAAAAAAAAAGCTCCGACTTATACTTTTTCTTTTTCAAACACACTCTATATGTTAAACCAAGTTCAACCCTATGACTAAGATTAGTATTTTTGTATAAAACTTACATTTTTTTCACTCAAACTACAACACTACAAATTTACACCGAAAATATATTACAGTATTATAAATTATAATATGATGAATATTAATCATTGCAAATTAAAAAAATCAATGAAAATATACTATATTAATGAAAAAAGATTCTCGTATGAAATAGTACACCAAATATGGAGGCTATTATTTTCATTAATATAAGAATAATGTTAGGTTTAGAGTTCGGTTGTAATGAGAGGGTGTTTCGAGAAATTAGTTTATAGCTTATTAACTTATAACGGTGATAGAAAATAGTTTTTACAAAAGTGTTTGGATTAGAAATAAGCAATAAACTATAAGCAAATGGGGATGCTTTTTAAAAATAGCTTATTTAGCTTATCTCCACAACAATAAGTTGATTTTTAGTGTTCATATCCAAACACTTAAACTTAGCTTATAGCGGTAGGGATAAACAATAAGCTATAAGATCCCTCTTTTTTCCCTATTTAAACACCCTCTGAATAGTGTCGTTTCTATATAAAAATAAAGGTTGGGAGGAGAAGCACAGCTCCAATATTTGTGACCAATCTGATTGATTTATTGAAGAAAAAAAAACAATTGATTTGGGTTAAATTCTTTTATTGATAGAATGTGTATAATCCAAAAGTTTAGTTAATAAGTATAGACCAAACAACTTAATTAAAAATTATTCAAAGTATATTTTAATCTATATAACACCATACACCACTGTATCAAAAAGATATATTGTTATGGTTATAAATAAGTAAACGTGTTGTAATCATATCTAGGGTTGTAAACGAATTGAACGTTCAACGAACTGTTCGTGAACCGTTCGGCGAAAAGTTCGTTTATCTAATCAATGAATCATTGAGTTATGTACAAGAAATAATAATGAACATTCATTCCTTTGTTTATCATAATATCATATTTTACTTGTTTTTATTAAAACATGTAATTTTAAAAAATCTTCCTAATTATAACAATATTGTCTTATAAATACAAAATAAGGTTCACTATTGTCATTGGGGTAAATGTTGTAATAAAAAAAATAGGAGACTAATAAACTCCAAAACCGCAAGGGATACACCTTTTTGGGAGAAGAGTCACGGAATGCATGATACAACTTGATGTAGACAAGGCTCCCTTTTGAGATGATATGTCATTTTCAACATATGTGTACTGGATGTCTGGATGAATGTAAATCTTGGCCATTAATATGATATAAAAATTAAGCAGAACCACATTTATTTTAAATAAACAAAAACTGTGAAAAGACTCAACAATTACATTCCCTTTTTCGTCATAATCTATGATCCAAACCCCTAAATGAATCGTGAAAGAAAGACGGTTTTGTACAGTTTTAGTGGTCTTGGATGGTTACGTTTTCAAATGAGTTTAATCTATTATACAAGAGACAAGTCAATCATATTCCGAAAACCGAAAATTAAGGGTGTATGGTTGTAGGTTAAGCCACATTCTATGATATGATCATGATAATCTTCTATAATAGGTCTTTCTATTTAAACATTATTTTTATTTTATACATAAAAATCATTACCGTTCTTGAAAAAGTAACTAATGAACTATATATTATATTAATCAATCATCAATATTAAAGTAAGATCTAAAATCCGAATTATCTAAGAAACCCATTAGGTTTTGAAACCTTTCTCCAAAAAACCGTTGTAATCCGAATTACATGTACGTGAAAGTAGTACTGGAATCTCATAACAAAAGATTATAGTGCTTCAACAAACATAAATTCATTCCTACTTTATTTTCATCAATCGACCTTGAAAAGCATCTTCTAAAAGTTGCGTTGCACATTATGAAATATGTTTTTCTCCATCAAATTGGACATGCAGTTAAAATTAGCTAAGCTATATTGGTTAAAAAGTGATTACTTACATTTTATTGAAACATTTAAAACATGACTTATTGCTATATGCTATCAATGATCGTATTTTAACTTTGATAATTTACCTTGATATTATGACCACATGATATCATACAGATAAAATTAAGCCATTCCATAAAATTAAGCCATTCCATATTCGATAAAAATAAGCCATTCCATAAAATTAAGCCATTCCATATTCGATAAAATTAAGCCATTCCATTCTAGTTCAATCTTCATCCAACATTTATAACTAGAATAAAATTTCAACGATGGTAACATCAAATCTTTTTATCAAACATAAAACTTTCTAATGAGCAAAACAACCAACATATGCAATTACAAAATTTAGACTACACCCCAAAACAACTAGAGTGTATGTAATGTAGGTCATAAAAGCTATACTTTGCTCTAGTCTTCAAACCTGATCTTCTTGGGTGCTGACACTTCACTTCCCACCTGTTCATCAAATTCACCAACACATCAATTTAAACACAATCCATAATCCATACCAATAAATAAACATAATCACACAACCAAAACTACAAAACGCAATCAAATTCTTACAAATTCAGGGCACACATAATCAATCCCAGCAGCCTCAATCTTCCTCCGCCTTTTCTGCTCCCTTTTCAAGATTCCATCTACCAATTTCTTGTGCTCTTCAAATGTCTTTTCCTAAATAACCAATCATCATAACATCACACTTAACAACCAACTAACACAAAATAACATGTTTCTTAAGAAAATGACAATTATTATATTATACCTTGTTCTGGCGTTTCCGTTCAATTTGAATCCAGTCAGAGGGTTTGTAATAACGGTTAACACCTTTCCACCTACAAATCATATAAACACAAGTTCCTAAGTATAACAAGTCAACAACTTTGACCAGAATATTATATTGAAATGCTTGCTTACAGTTTAGGATGAACACGTTCTGGAGGGATGAGCTGTACTTGCAACAAATGCTCATACAAGAGGTAATTGTGCATTGTTTCAGCAACAATCTTTGCAACCTGTACATATTTTTCATAGATAGTAAGTTCAAGTCTCCTCATTAGAAATTTAGAATTGACTAAAACTTTAGTTAACAGGTGAGTGAATTGGACTATGTTTAACCTCGGGAGATGCAAACTGAAGGAACCCAAAATGCTTGGATTTTCCTGTCTGGAAAGATGGACAAAAGGGTTAGGGTAAGATGCAAGATATGGCAATGTACTTTCTTTCAGTTGTTTAGTATAGCATTCTACTTTTTTTCTTTCTATTACACTTTGAAAATCTATTCAATTACAGCAATGTCATTCAGATACAACGAACTTTCACGGTTATTATTAGGTAGATTTTTCAACCTACAATGTGTTAATAAGAAAAAAAATTTAAAGTATATTGGTGTAGAGGCAAAAAATAAAAGTGGGATGACATAATACACAAATAAATGAAAGTATGTTGTTAAAAAGCTAAAGATCTAACCTTCTTGTTCCTTGCTATCCTAATTTTCCTGATTTCACCAAACTGTTTGAAGAAAGCTGCATAAACAGTGGAATAATTGAATCAACTTCAAGTTATAATAGATTGCCATAGTGCTCCTTTGAGGCATAAGATGTATAAGTTGCTTGTGTGTATATGAACACAAGTTAAAATGGCCATTTAATAAAATAAGAAAATCTACCTTCCATTTCATTCTCGTAAAACCCGTGAGGGATTCTTCCAATATACAATACCGTAGCTTTATTATCTGAGTTTTCAGTGATTGGCAGTTTTCGTGCTGGACCACCCTCTAATGGCTATTTCATACACAAACAGATAAAAATCAATCAACAACTACCTTCAGATAAACTAAAAAAGGATTAAAACATCAACAATGGGGTGCGTTTTGATTTAGGGCTGCGGGTGGTCAAACTCCATAGAAGAGCTGACAACTTTATTAAACTTTGGAACAAATACTGCAAATCTGAATGAAGGTAGCAATGGTTCTTATACGTGATTATAAGTATTAGCCATGATAATACAACTCACCAGGAAATCAGCAGCTTCGTCCTTACGGACTGACGCCGTCAACTCGGTAGAACCCTTTTTGACTTTCTTCATCATGGACTTTTTCGCCTTCATCCCCATCTTCGAATTCAACTGAAGTTCGGTGACTGTAAATCAATTTGACAAACATTAAACTTTGAGATAAAAGGAAAACTAACAAATAAACAAGCGGATATGCTATCCAACAGTGTCAGAAAGAAAAAAATGTAAACGTTGTGTAGATACTTGCGTTAATGGAAAAGAAGGAAGACGGTGGCTGTCCGATGAGGGTTAGAGGCGGCGAGAGGCAGAGAGAAACTGATAATGTCGAGACCTGCAAATCCCCTTAACCTAAAATTTATTTGGTTTGGATAAATAATAAATAGTCTTCCATAAACCCTGGACTATGAATGATTTTCAAAGATAACCCTGTACTTTCATTTGCGAGTAACCGACTTGCCCAAAGAAACCTTTTTTTTTTTTTTGCCTTTTTGCCTTTTTGGTTTTTACACATATTTCATAGAATCAATTGTGATCATTCTATTTTGACATTTGATTAAGGCAGGAGTATAAAAAGATGTACTCGTAAAATATAAATATTTTATAAATTTATTTTGTATTTCACATTTGACCGACTAAGTTTATGAGTTTCGATATACTTATGAGTTTCGAATATATCTTTACATATATTAGTAATGTTAAGACGGAGTAGCTTTGATGAATTCAATGGGGAGACAAATAATGAAGGGGGCTATGTAAGTTTAGGGGAACATACTCTTATCCCGAAGAAAAGCTTCAAGTATTTGGGCTCCATGATTCATTAGGGAGGACATGTGGAGATAAATGCCACAAATCACATAAAAACAAGTTGATTAAAGTGGAGGGCAGCATCAGGAGTTCTGTGCGACAATAAGGTTTTCGTGGAAACTAAAGGGGGGGGGGGGGGGGTATATAGTAGCTATTAGGTTTGTCATGATGTTTGGATTTGAATGTTGGTCGACCAAGAAGGACCATGAAACAAAGATGGAAGTACCAGAGATGAGGATGTTGAGGTGAACGTACGGTAGAACTTTATTGGATAGGATACCAAATGAGGCTTTAAGAAAGTCTTTAGGGTGGTATGGATCACCGAAAATTAAAGGAGGGATGGTTGAGGTGGTATGGACATATCCTTAGAAGACTACCATCAGCGACAATAAGGAGGGTAAAGTCAATAATGATTGATGGTAAGAAGATGAGGGGAAGTCCTCAAAGGAAGTGAGAGGATAGTGTCAGGCTTGATATGATGAGTTTTATCTTTCCAATAACTAAACCTTAGATAGGAGGGCGTGGAGGCTAAACATCATGGTAGATGAGTAACCTCGCTCTCGTGTATGTTTTGTTTCATAATTGATATTTTGACATATACTTTATGCTCGTATCTTTGTATCGTGGTTTATCTATTCTGTTGCTTTACTGCTTACATTTTACTTAGGGGATGTTTGTTTTTTTTATGAAGATCTGTGCAACCACTTTTGTCTGCGCCGCGCAGACATATGTCCTCGCAAAGTGTTTGTTTTTTGGAAGTGCACAGATCAAAAAACGTCTGCGCGAGGTCTTTCTGACGCAGACATGGACCACTGTCTTCAAAGGTCTTCATACCTCATTTTAACCTAAACCAAAAAAAAAAACATGGGCCACCGTGCAGGTTTTTTTTTTTTGTTGAAAATACATTTTTAATGTTTATGACATGAAATTAAGTTTGAAAAATCAATTTATTTCATTAGCTGCAGACGTTAAAAACAAACAGTCTTCTTATTACAGACTGCAGACATTTGGTTCACCTCTTCTGCCGCAGATGCTTGCAGATGTGGTCCGCAGACTGCAGACATTTTGTCTTCAAAAAAACAAACAACACCTTACTTTGTATTGTCTGTCTCTTTTGTAGGTTCTCGGAATTGGAGGCCCCTAATTTGACTTTTTTTTATCTTCATGTCTAATTGTTCACTTTGATTTACTCGCTTTGCCTTTTTACAGGTTGTGGGTTACTCATGGCGGAGCTCATCTATGTGACACGGTCGTTTTACCCCTAATGAAGGTACAACTGTCGATATCTACGTCTCTCTTGATCATCAAGAAGTGATCTCAAACCTACAAATACAGGTTTCTTAAACAAATTGCAGTGGTGGAGCACTAAACCCATTCTTAGCCTCACTGAATCCAAATCCCATAACCATATCAAATTTAGCACCCGGGACATCCTTATCAACCTTTGAATGATCATCTTTGTACCCTTTTGATTTGAATCATTTGTATGGCATCTGCAACAATTAGTCGAATAGACCCAAAATGTTGTGTTGCAGGCTTGCAGCAGTCAAAACCAGCCTCGTCGTATCCACTCCGGTAACAATAAACCCCAATTTAGTGTTGAAGAAACTTAAAATCTTTTCAGATAACAAGCCATTTCTTCAAACATCGTTTTTATAGAAAAATTATATTTTATCAGTTATATCCAGACTACTCACTTTGAGTTTCACGCATAATATACGTTTTCGTTTTCCTTAATTAGATAGATTGTGGATGGAACACGATCAATATTTGTATTTTTTTGAAGTAGAAGAAACTCAATCAATCATATATACGGATTCAAATTCAATTTGGTATCAAACAATTTGTCAACTGAACAATCAAGCAGCAAACCAATTTGAATAAAGCATTATCAATATTCAATAGTGAATACTGACAATTCCCAAGGCTAACAAATTCTTAACCGAACAATTAGCAAATGAATCGTCACTTTATCTCACTTGGGTTGGATTTAACACTATCAACAATCAACAATCAACAATCAACAATCTATCTCCCTATATACTTCCATAAAACACAAAATCTAATAAAACCAGAATCAAATAACCCATCTTATCTTGAAAATATTCTATGATTAAACTATTCCAAAACCCATGGATCCACCCCCGGACCCTGACATGGAATAATTACCATTACCATCATCGTCATCATTACCAATTTTGGTTGTGGCCCTCTCAACAGCTTCAAGAATATCATCCTTGGTCACAAAATCACCACCTAACAACATACCCAAAACATAATCGGATACATATCTAAATACTTCAACCAAAAAAAAAATTGTTATTAGAACAAACCTCTGCGAGCAGCAAGTAGTACAGATTCATGAGCTATGTTTTCAAGATCAGCCCCAACTAAGCCCAGTGTAAGCGAAGCAACAAGGTCACAAATGACCTTTTTGTCCTCATTCAAGGGCACCTCTCGCAAATATAAACCGAAAATCTTTCGCCTTCCCTCTTCATCCGGTACACCCACAACCACTTTCCTGGAAAACCGACCCGGTCTCATCAAAGCTGAGTCCAGTGACTCAGCCCGGTTTGTAGCAGCTATCACCACCACACTTGCTTCCTTCTCAAACCCATCCATCTCAGTCAAAAGCTAACACATCAGAAACAATACTTAAGTAAACAAGTTCCATATCTAATTACGAATTTGACCTCGAAAAATTGAAACTTATTATTTATATACCTGGTTTAAAGTTTGGTCACGTTCACAATTCAAAGTTCTTCCACGTTGCCCTCCAACAGCATCGATCTCATCGATAAAAATAATAGATGGTGAACTTTTTCTCGCCTCCTTAAAAAGATCCCGGACACGCGCCGCCCCTTTCCCGACAAAAACCTCCACCAATTCACTAGCAGCAATCGAGAAAAACGCCACGTCAGCTTCTCCGGCCACCGCACGGGCCAGCAATGTTTTTCCGGTGCCCGGAGGTCCAGCAAGCAGTACCCCTCGTGGTAATTTCGCCCCGAGTTTCATATATTTACTATCTCCTTTAATGCATGACACAATCTACAAAACCTCACACAATCGATCAATCAAATTCAGATCCAATTCAATAAGCAGCAACGGACAAAATAGTAAATTTTACCTCGAGAAGTTCAGCTTTGGCAGAATCGACTCCTTCCACGTCATCGAAAGTTACTGACTGTTTCTTACTTGGTTTTCTTTTAGTCATTTTTCCAAGATTTTGTTGTGCGTTAAGCTGATAACACGAAATCAACACCATGATCCAGTAAGGGGCTAACTGTAACATTACAAACAAGAAATTCTTCATTGATCCAGATAACTGCTCAGGGTCTGAACCATATGTGACTTCTTTATCTTTTAGCAACTTAATAAGCCCATATTTTTCATCTCCAACATTTCTTGTGCGAAACTGCCACTTGGGTACAAAAACTTTCAATAATCCTTTTGGCACTGAATCAATTTGTGGGGTTTCAGTTGATGATTTGGTGTTATAGTAGATTTCACGGGAATTTTCCACAAATTGAACATGAATCACATTTCCATCACGAATGTTGCCAACAAGATCTGAGTAGGGGACAACAATGCAACGGCGTGCTTGTTGATTTGGTAGGACAAAAGAGAAAATTGCTACAACTGCACAAAAAGAAGCTCCCACTATAACCGTGTATATCTTTCTACTTATTTTACTAGCAGCCCTCCTCTTAGTTTTATGAATCTTTCTTTTCTGGGTGTCTGTAATAGAAAAGAAAAGAGACATAGCAAAACACAAGTCAAGAAACTTATGCACTGAAGACTGAGAAAGAAGTACAAGTTGCATACCATCTTCGGTCTCTCTTGTTGCAACAGTAGTGTCCTCTTTCGACCATTGACATAAGAACTTCACAGATGTTACAGATAATCAGTTTTGTTACAATACGTACATAAATCACACTTGCAAAATATAAAAATCTCCTGATTATGGGACAAGTTTTGGCCAAAAATTATGCAACTAATTCTACAGAAATAATCCAAAACGCAATTCCATGAGGAATAAATTAGTTAAAATTCAACAATAAAAATGCAATCCATGAACCTTTTCATCCGTTTGCGTGGCATCATCCCAAAAAGACGATAAATTGGAGCCCAAAAAGTCACCCCAGTTCATGTTGCCACTAAAACCCTTGTGTTCCTAATGAGGAAGAATCAAAAAAAGTAAAACACGGGATTAAAAGTAAGGACATCGTATATATGAGGCACATGATTACAAGATACAACATCTGAAAATTAAAGAAAAAATAAATACTATTTCGAGTAAACCTTAACGAGTGCAGAGATGGGCAGTGCAGCATGCATCGAAGAAAAACGATGAGAGGTTGGCGGAGTATATAAGAAACGCCTTTTAGATCGAGAAGGAGACTGTTCAATTGGTTTTGGGGCAATGATCATCGACGAGGGTTTCAACAAAAGGTTTCTCATCGCCATGGAGGGTTTTGGTTCTCGGCGCAAAGGTTTCGCCGCCGCTATAAAATAACAGTAGCGTGTGCTACAAGGTATGGTTAAATGTGCGTTTTACACTAGGAAAGATCGAGAATTCGAGCACAGGAACGAACTTGAAACCTGAATCAAAGAGGATTAAGGATTCTAGGGTGACAACTCTCCAGACTGATCGATCGTATTTGATACTTGATACGAACGTCTGATTGTTTGTTAATCACTCTAAAAAAATAATAACAAAAATCAGAACGATTGATTTTCATTTTTTTTGCTTTCCGGATTTCCTCTACCAAAGGCCCGAGACCAGGAACAAAATATTAGCTAAAAGCCCACTTGAGTTTGATGACTTTAAGTCTTGAAGGCTATGTTTCAAAAACTTTTTTTTTAATCAACATAGTGACCGGTTGAATCTATACAATCGTCAGATCAACCGGATTTTATAATATTTTTTATTATATTTTTCTACACACAAATACATACATATACACATAAAGATTTTGACCTTTATAAATTCAAACATTAAAATACACATAAAATAACTTATATACCAATCCAAATATATTAAAAAACACATAATCATAAGTTATTCATGTGCATAAAAAACTAAAGTATAATACCAAAACAAAATATAGTTTTACATGCACAAACGTATCAAAAAACTTCATAACATTTATCATGTGCTTTTATTTAGAGAAATCTAAATAGATATGAAAAAGATCACCAAATTTTGTTATGAAATAGGTTTTATTTCCATATGTTTTTATTCAATTTAACCGGTTTAATTTAACCGGTCCAGCCGGGTTTTTGTAAAAATCGGTCGGTTCGTTCCGGTTTAAAAATAGGCATAAAATCAGTGCTAGTTGAACCGCTCTCTTTCCCGGTTTCCGGTTCGACCGGCCGGTTTTTAAAACATTGCTTGAAGGAAACTTGAAATTGTGGCTTGGTATTGGGTGTTGTATTAACCCATCGATTTTGATTTAAATTGGATAACCACGACATCTAAATAGTTAATTATATATCAACTAATAATATTGAGAACTTTATACACAGATTATCAAATGGTAGTCTGGATCGAACCGAATCGGATCAAACCGATCTTATCTTATATGGGACGGTTTGTGATTCCATCAAATAGTTTAATAAGGTTTTTGGCTCTAGTGGTTTTGATTCCACTGGACCGAACCAGGAGAGGCCAACTTTGAAACAACTTCGAAACTGAAAATCGGTATCGGATACAATTTAGTTTCTAGCGGTTCGGTTCCTATTTCTTCATTTCAGCTTTAATCGGTTTCCAATTCTTTCGGTTCTGGCCTAGTTTTAAAACTGTGCTCATGCCTAATTTTATACAAGTATTTAATCGATAATAAGTATTTAACTAATATTAAATCTAAAGTTGAGGCGGACCATAGTGTATCGTGGGGTAGCCCGTGCTACCCCTCAAAATTTTCCTAGAAGTACTAAAATTTCTTAAAAAAAATTATGTATATGTGCAATCGCTGAAAAATAATGTGTTACCCCTTAGTTTTTTAGTCCAAAAAAATATTCCAAACTTAAATCATTTGATAAGTTAAATAGCCCAAATAAAAAGAGTCTAATTCGAAACTCCAGACAAACAAAATGGCCCAAGAGTTTAATGAAGAGGGACGACGGACGTTGTGGTTGGCTAGGTCATGGAAAAAAAACATAAGACTTAGGGGTTGTTTGGTAGTTACTGTCTGAGTAAGATCTGACCGAGTCAGAAGCTCTGACTGCATCTGTTTTACATTGAAACCATATTGTTTGATTATATTTCTGACTAACTGTGCTGAATGAGAAAATTGACAAATTTACCCTTTTGTTTTATTTATGTCATCTAAAATATATCTTTTTGCATGCAAATTTAAGTTCGACAAACATTATTAAATAAATAACAGGTCCAAATGTAATGCATGAATTACCTCTATATCATTTAAAAATTAACACTTTTAAGGAATAATAAATTTTATTTATTTTAAAAACAATAATATAGCTAAATGTAATGGACATGTGAAGAACCCAATCACATCAGTTGGTGGTATTTTCAACCTCCTTTTAATAAATTAATACATACCATATATTCTCTCTTCACTTTCCATTTCATTCAATTATAGAGAGAGAATGGGATATCACCCAATCACCATACAAAAGTTGCAGCTCTTTTCCAGGGAACTTTCATGCCTCCCTGAACCATCAACCATGATAACACCACCACTACAAATCTCAACTTATGTTCCCTACCGGTGGGAAGAACAACTAGGTGACTACAAATCTCAACTTCGATCGATCTCAATTTTCAATCCTCCTGAACTCGATCAACAGGTAAAAGGGTGCTCCCCTCTCATTCTCTCTCATTAAGATGCAATTTTTTGGTTGGGGTTAAAAGGATAAACATGGGTTCTGGTGTTTGTGGTGGGTTTCCTAGTTCTTGTGTGCGTGAACATGGCATGTATATGTCTGGTTTTGTGGTAGCTGGAATGTCAATGGATGTGTAATGCAAAGGGCAAAACTGTGAAGAAAACAAAAAGGACCGAGTCAGCTACTTTCATTTCACTTACCGAGTCAGAGGGTGCTGATCGAGTCTCATGGTCTTATTCCACATATCAAACACGCTGACCCACATTGATCTGACCGAGTAAGACATTTTTGTCTGACCGGACTCAGTCAGACTTAAATCAAACAGGACCTTAATCGCATGTCTCCTGCAACGACTGTAACATCCGGACTCCCAAGTATATTATTTATATATTATTTTTGGGGTTTATCAAGTAACTCGGCGAGTTGGTGCCTCAACTTATCGAGTAGAGTCGTGATTGGCCACGGGGGTTAAGTGACCAACTCGACGAGTCAGGGAGCCGACTCACCGAGTTGGCGTTGTGAGATGAAACCCTAAATCTCCGGGGTTGGGACCTATTTAAAGGACCTTATGTCCTTCTTTCCGCCTCACCAGCCACCCAACTCCCCTGTGTGAAACCCTAATCGGCCATTGGAGCTAAGAGAGAGTGCGAGAGCTTATTGTGAGAGTTTTTAGTGAACCATTGGAAGAAAAGAAAAGTGGTTCAAGCAAGGAATGAGGAAAGGCTGTGGGATCCAGTGTTCTTTCGTCCAAAGCTTCAAGTGGAAGGTAAAAAGCCTGCACCTTTCTCATATATTTGGTTAGATCTCATGATTATGGAAGTTTAGGGTTTCTACCACCTTTTATTGGGACTTTGAGTATACTGAGTTATCAAGGGATCTAAACCTCAGATCTGGACCTTGTGAGGTCCCTAGAGTCCAAAGGTTCCAACTTTATTCAGCCATATGAGGGTTATTATGCTTAACACCTTGTGAGAGCATGTATTGGCATTTTGGAGCAAAAATACCATGCATGAACGTAAAGATCGAAGCTTTACGTGACAATCAAGTCTTGGGATGCTAGATCTAGAGTTTGGAGTGATAGATCTTATATAAAACGTCTGAATGAGAAGTCAGATTGAAGGGACTCGCCGAGTCCATGAACTGACTCGACGAGTCGGTCAGGGTTTGTTCCGATGAGCTTGATCATGCGATAACTCGGCGAGTTGGGGGATCAACTCGACGAGCTGAGCTGGACTTTCATGAGACTTCTGAGGAAACGAGGGGACTCGACGAGTTGCATAAGTGCACTCGACGAGTTGGGTCAACTTTGACTGTTGACTCGAGTTTGACTTCAGTTGACTTTAGGGTTTGGTCAAACATGAGGAATGGAGACCATGGAGGGGTAAAATGGTCTTTTACTCACTCCAAGAGTTAGAAAGAGAGAAGAACCTTTGGTTTATTTAGAGTCGTGAATAGAGTATTAATTAGAGATATTTATCGTATGTGTTAGGCGGAGGCTAGACCGGTGATTTGAGTTCGAGGTTGTCCGAGTTCTTACGAGGTGAGTCTTCTCACTATACTTACCTTGAGTGGTAATCTATGTGTGACCGGAGGGTCTTATGTGCTTATATTGAGTATTGTGATATCCTGCATTATGTCTTTGTGGTTTATGCTGAGTTTTATACTGAGTTTACTGAGTTAGGACCGGAGGGTCCAAACCGAGTTGTCGGACCGGAGGGTCTTCACTGAGACGCAGGACCGGAGGGTCCATGACGAGTTATAGCCATGAGAGGCTTATGAGACACATGACCGGAGGGTCTTATCTGAGTATAGCCATGAGAGGCTAATGAGATATGTGTGATATTTTGGGGAACTCACTAAGCTTCGTGCTTACCGTGTTCTGTGATATGTGTTTCAGGTTCTTCTCAGGATCGCAGGAAGGTGTCGGCTTGATTGTACACACACACACGAGATGGAGTTATGTTTTTGAGGATTCTGGGTTTTGTGTTTTGGATAATGTAACTGTAACATCCCAAATTTCGAGTCCAAAAATTTCATTTCAATTAACTGATTATAAAAGCATTCATAAGAAAACCACATAAATATATCATGTCTAAAAACTCAAGTCATAAAACAACATCATGTCAGAGTAAAATCCCAAAATATCTCCAGTGCGGAAATCAATGCGAGTGTGTATGATGTGCTGCTACCGCGCTGGCTCCTTCCCCTTCGCTGAAGAGGTACCTGAAACCAAAACTATAAACTGTAAGCACGAAGCTTAGTGAGTTCCCCCACCGTACCACATACCATACAATCATATAGCGTACATACTGTCGGGCAATTCTGGGGTGCCCGACCTACCCGATACGGCCATTCTGGGGTGCCGACCTACCCGTGTCAAGCCATTCTGGGGTGCTGACCTACCCGTCGGTCCTAACAACCGATCCTCGGGGACTATTCCACCCCCTACTGCTACTATCACATATATCATAACATAAACATACTATCAGCCATATCTGGGGTGTCCGAACTACCCTTCGGTCCTAACAACCGAACTTGGGGACAATTCCCCCCTACTGCCACTGTCACATATAACATATCATGCCAGCATACAAACATATCATCACATACTGTCAGACATATCTGGGGTGTCTGGCCTACCCTTCGGTCCTAACAACCGAACTCTACTACTATCACATATAACATATCATGTCAGCATATAACATATCAAGTAGTAGCAAACCTAGATGATATCACAAAGACAATCATCTAACATACAACTCCTACTGGTGGGCCGGCATTGTGGCCGTAGACCCACCGCTACTGGAAGGTAACTCACCTCGAACGAGAAGTTGCTGATAATCTGTGCGGGAAACCTCTGTCTGCTGCTGCTCCGGAAATCCTCCGGCTA